GTTCGACTTGCTAGCTCATCGTTCGCATTCGCTCGCGATTCTAAATTCGCAAAGTCTGGCAGCGCGCAGCGCCGGCGAATATAAGGTTTTACCATATTATCCTATGAACGAGAATTCCCTACGTGCCATTGCATCTAACATGAACGTCCTAGTATTCTCTACATCCGATCTTAATTTCATTTATCGACAGATTCCAGCAAAAAATAGGAGTTCCAAATTTTAAGTCAGGTTTATATCGTCTTCGCCCAATTTAAGAAGCCGACAAACTGTGAAATGACTGATTCAGGTCCTGCATAAGCACACATGGCTTCGAATAATCTGCTATCTGCTTGAAGTGCTATAAATCGCTCATGAAACCAATAGGAAGCGCTCTTTTCAGCACTGCACTCTAAGGCTTTCAATGAACAACTCTCATCTACAACCAATCGGCTCTCCCTTGAAAATGGTTATCAGAATTCGAATTGTGCATAATTTCTACTTATTTCTTGTAGCTCGTCCTGGAAGTGAAGCAGGTTACGGTAGCGAACTTGGCGGCGGAGCAGGTAGTGGTCGTAATTCCAGGGCGGACGCTTTGAGCCCGACTGGAATAGATCCTCTTGGAAAGACAGATCCTTATGGGAAGGGGCCAGTTGGTAATCTCAAATGTCACACTTCATATTTATGTAATATGACATCAACAGAACTTCTCTTCATTCAAATCTTCAAATTTGAGGTCCTTATGGTGGAACAGGTCTCCCCAGTGGATATGGATCACCTGGATTGCACGGAAGCGGCATACCTGGAGGGGGAGGTTATGGCGGCAGTCCGGTTGCGCCTGGACACGGAGCAGGAGCAGGTAAATAGTGTGATGTGTTTGGATTCATTACAGCGATCACGATGGCTGGTGGGTGGTGTGATTTTGATGGCATTAAGATTTTGGACTTGGTGGACCGGACACGCTGCGGTGTGTTTGGGACCGCCTCTTCTCACCACTGACGCTGAATGACGTCATCAAAATCACGCCGCCCTCCAGTCATCGTGAACACTGCCTTTAAGTCCACCTTCCTTTTAGTGACAGTTTTTAATTATAAAAGGAAATTTTGTTGTTAACTTTCAACTAACTTTTATGTGCTTATCCCTTGATTATATTATTATTATGATTTTCACCACTCTTCGTAGTGATGCTGAATGTCTCACATGAAAAGGACTAGTTGGTAATGTGAGTGAGAACGTCACTTTCTCTAATCAAGCTTGTTTAGATAACGGCAGCGGCTACCCCGGTGAACCAGGAGGTGGCCGACATGGGGCAGGAGTTGGCTCACCTCGCGGTCACCCGCACTCTACCTTGGACTCTCACCCATATGGATCCAATGGAATTCTCGGACCAGGCAACGATGGACGAATGAGTGGTCAGTTCGATTCTCCCTCTTGGTGTTTTCCGACTTCTTAAAATGAGCACTGCCTTACATATGACTACCGCGCTTGATAATACTTGTCATATTCTATGCTATACGAAGTTATTACTGAATATTCCATGAACGACTCTCTATTAATCTCGGCATGATTAGTATAGTATTAGTTGGTTCTCTTCGAGCTTCCGAGATTGATACAGAACTTTATTTCGGCTTACGTTTCGGCGCACTCGCCTTCTTCGGAGCCTGCAAATCGAAGCATATTCTTGAAACAATTCATCCAACCGTCATTTCGGATTACAAGAAGAAGAACTAAGGGATAAAAGCCATGAACAGTGACAAAACCCGCTAACCTTTACAAAAGCCGAGAGCTGGAAGGCACCCTTTGCTTAAAGACCGTGCGGGGTTGCTTTTATACGTAAAAAACACGTATAAAAGCAACCCCGCACGGTCTTTAAGCAAAGGGTGCCTTCCAGCTCTCGGCTTTTGTAAAGGTTAGCGGGTTTTGTCACTGTTCATGGCTTTTATCCCTTAGTTCTTCTTCTTGTAATCTGAAATGACGGTTGGATGAATTGTTTCAAGAATATGCTTCGATTTGCAGGCTCCGAAGAAGGCGAGTGCGCCGAAACGTAAGCCGAAATAAAGTTCTGTATCAATCTCGGAAGCTCGAAGAGAAGCAACTAATACTAAACCTGACTTATTTTTGTCACCAGATCCGGAATCTTGGAATAGCTGCAATCGTTTATAGACGAATAGCAAACAGTACACTCAGGCCGCACAACTGGGCCACATGCTGAACAATACTGAAGGCGCCCTGGGAAACCAAAGAACCGTAGCGACGTCGCACACGGCGTGTGAACCCAGTGCGGGCTCACCGTATGTGTAATTTAAAGGCACAGGTCGCGATCGAGTCGGAGTCCTAGTTTGCTCCGTAATTAGACAATAAGTGTGAAGAAGAGGGAGACGGGACGGAGAGACACAGCGCTTCGGGGAGAGGGGATACGCAGGAGAGCGCGACAAGGGGCTGATGCGCGATAGAGCGGTTAGCTCCCTTGTCGCGTCTTTTAAAGTCGCGAAATTATTACCAATTCTCTGATTAGATGTCCTGGTACCTCACCCAAGATCAAAAGGTTTTCAAGGATACAATCTTGACCCCGTGCCTTTAAACTCCATTTTTCACATCGCTCGAACTTTATGGGCATGTACTCAGTATTGTAACAATTGCTGCCCCACCAAAAAGTGTTCTGCGCACATCTACTAGCTGTTCGCTTTGATCCTTCATATAGAGTACGTCGGACCTCGATGCTGAGAGTTATGGAGTAGCGGCACGTGAAGGTCATCATAGAGAAAGCCTACACAAATAGACTGTAACGCGGGTGTAGCAAACCTTATCGAGCTTTTGGCTAGTCCTATTGAGAGAAGACATTAAGACTGAGGCCTAAGCAATGAGGTAGATGCAAGATTCAAGAAAAACTGGAGCTTAGCCACGGAATGGAGCGCACAAATGGGCTGAATAGCATTTCAAATTGGTCCAGGGGTGCTACGTTAAAAGCCATGTTTCAAGCTTTTGAATTTTTTCTGGGGACTGGTTGTGACATTATTTAAAAAAAATCGTCTAAAAAAAGAAAGAAATAGGTCCATGGACCAAACCAATAATCGGTAGTGCTACAATTTTAAGCCTTCTTATAACTTACTTCATATTAGCCAAAAATCGAGTTTCAGCTGCTTCATCAATGTTCTCCGACCCGTCGTACCGTTTTGACACCAAAACTGGATATTTGATAACGAATCCACGCGAACTCATCCATCAGTATGCCACAACGACGCCTGTGGCTGTGATGGAAGCTACTGACCACACACCTGTAACCACTACGATTTCAAAGCACAGCACGTACAGAAAAACGGAAGAGACCACAGAGTAGGTCGAGTTGTTTTTTCAGAGTTAGCTTCTTGTCGGCTCATTTAAAGGCAGTGATCACGATTGGTGGAGGGCGGTATCCTTTCGATGACGCCCTTGAACGTCATTGGTGGACTGGACCCCTCAGCGCGCTGGGGGCGTGGCTGGAACCGCCTCTTAACGTCCTCCCACCAATGACGTGGTCAGAACCACACGGCCCTCCTGCATTCGTAATCACTGTCTTCAAATGGAGATGACAACTTAACTGGTTAGGTAAACAAAAAAGGCTATTTCAGGGAACGGTTCTCACCTTACGCACCCTACAAAACTGTGCGCAACGTTCAATCGCCGACTAAGTTCACACAACAACTAAGAGACGAAAGTTAGTTATATGGAACTCTTCAGGCCATCTTCCCAAAACTCATCATTGATTTTACTCATTTTGCAGCTATGACCCGCACTCAGCGTGAGGCTAACACTCATGCAGATCCACTCAATCAACGTGATTCTCAGGCTCAGCAAAAGATCAACGAAATTCGCTCGAAAACGCACAACATCAGGTTAGTAGTGATTGTTAATTAGCTCTACTAAATGTAGAAGATTCTAAACCAAAAAACGTCGCTCTATTGAAGGCATACTCCGACATCAATCGATGTGGATATTGCATTTGAAAATGGTAACAGAGTTAGTGGACTGCTAGTAAAGAAACAGGGAAAAAATCACCGAGAACGCTAGATTATGACCCACTTCCTTTTATAAGGGTCAGGGTAGTGCTACGACGGAGAGACACTGAAGCCTAGGAGAGAGTAAAGCGAGAGATTACATAAGACGAGAGGACGCAGACACCCCGACTAACAGACGCTGCATTGCAAGAAACAGCGAAAACGTAGGGAAGCAGATGGCAATGAATTCTTCCCAAATATGTATGCTACTAAAGCATTCTTGAATCTCCTATTGGATTCTGAACACTGTCGGACGCCTGTGATGCCTTTCTTGGCCTGCAGAGGTCATATTAGATCTTTATCAATACCATCGGGAACCAACAACTTGACCGAGTCGATGAAATATGCTCGCTATTAGAGCACTAAATCCACTTTGCAATTTATCGGCTAATGGAAAAATCTAGCCGTCAAACTAGGACCTGTCTGGTACCGCCCTAACAAGAAAATACCAGAATCAAATTGCAGTGCAAGGTTCAGTCCCTACTTCTGCTACTGCTACCTTTTACCGAGCAGGCTCGCTGTACACATAGCCTACGT